CCTTGATCTCTTGTAAGATAAAAGGTGTTGCAAGTCACACCCTAGGGAAACCCCCTTTACCATGGTTCGCAGCCTCCCAACCCCCTTGCAATGGGATGTCTGATAACATCACATCACATCAAGGGGAATGATTACATCATGACATAGATGCAGGATTACATCATTACATAACTGCCAAACCATTGAGAAGTGTAACCCAGCCAAGGTGATACATGTTTGAGAGGTCGGAGGGAGGGTGGGCAATTCGATCCATGACAGCCAGACTTGATGTACTGTTTCAGCGTGGTGTGTGAGTGGATGGAGCTGGAGGCTGCATGGAAAGTTCTCCACGACTCTTGAGCTTTAAATCATACAAGCCTTGGCTTCTTACCTATCTTACTCCCCATAGTTGATTCTGTAAAGACGGCGTCTGCTAAATAATTGAGATCTTTTTCCTCCACCTTCACCATTTCCATGTTTTCTTTACTGATTTCTGTGCAGTAATATTATGAAACTCAGGCCTTCCCACATGGTCTAGTAGTTTTAGCACGTAGGTGTTAGGGTTATGCCCATGATCTTGTTGCTGTTGTTGTTGTTAAGTGCTGTTGAGTCAGTTCCAACTCATAGTGACCCCATATAGGGTTTCCTAGGAGTGGCTGGTAGGCTTGAGCCCCTAATCTTGTGGTTAGCAGCCCAGTGCATATCCCACAGCACCACACCAGGACTCCTAATGATTTAGCATGGGCTAAGTAATTTAACGTCTCTGGGCTTCAATTGGCTCTTCTGTTAAAGGAGGGCAGTCTGAGTTGGAGTCGCATTGTTGCACATTTGTTAGTGAAGAGGTCAAAGCTTGGGTGTCACTCTTCTGTATAAAACAGGTGAATCAGTGTCATCGACTTCATTGTGGTCTTCAAACCCCAGAAGGAATTTCCCACTTCCAGTCTGGCTCTGTAGTTCTGGATTTCTCTGAAGGACCAGGTTTTCCCAAAAGGAGCCAGGCATATGAAGGTGTGATGGTCAATTTGTGAAATACTTGACCTTACAAAACATAAGGAATATAAACCCATCCTTCCCAAGTGTTCAGATTTTTCATGAGAATATGGGAATTTGTTTTTTTAACACAGTTTTCTGATTTTTTCAGTGTTGGTAGTTTGGTAAGCACTGAACTGCTAGCAGAAAGTTTGGTGGTTCATACCCATCAGCCGCTCATCGGAAATCCTATACAACAAGGTTATTATGAGTTGGAATCGATTCGACACCCCTTAACAACTGCAATTAAACATTTTGATTTGTCATCATGGTGAGCCAAACAGAACCTATTTGGGGAGTTCAGAAACACTATGCAGGAGACCCACTTCCAAATCTATGACTCCTATCTTCTGACTGACTCTCTCAGGGCAGCTGTGTGGGATTGCTTTAAAAGTACATTTAATTTTTTCAAGAAACGTAGTCTACATTTTTTTTGCACGTGTTTGGTGTCAAATAGCAGATGTCAAATTAGTAGCAGTCCTGGCGGACTGAGAACCACAAAGTCAGCAGTTCAAACTCACCAGCTGCTCCTTGGAAACCCTACACAGGGTCACTATGAGTCTGAACCCACTCAACGGCACTTAACAACTGCAACAAGTATGGATCATATAGTGAAAAGGGCTGTAGAATACTTCATGATACAACGTTTGGGTACTGTCTTGGTCAGACTCTGAGCCAGCACATGAAGACACCAGGGGAGCTAGTTTAGGAGGCAGTTCCAACCAACCCAGAGGCATCTGGGAAGACAGGCCTGGTGATCCACTTCCAAAAGATGGTAACGTTGAAAATGCTGTGGAGCACAGCTCTACTCTGCACACGCAGGGTCGCCATGAGTTGGAAGGATGCCAGCAACAACCACAACGAGTGTTAGGTTGAGTGACTTCCCTCATACACTCCTCCTCTTTGACTGAGTAGCTTCAAGAAGAAGCCCTATTGGCAACCCTCTTTTCCTCATCCGAATGCTATACTGACAATGACGACCCACCATCTAGGATTGGAGGTGAGACTGAGAAAACGTCCCGCCATCACGTGCTCTCCTCATTCCCTCAGAAAGGAATTGTCTCATTCAGAGCTCCTTCACTGATGCACTGAGGGCTTTGGTAATCACTCTGTCATCGTGGCATTGCTTTCTTTCTGGGGAGAGTGGAGTCCTGGTGTGGCACTGTAGGATAAGCACTGGTTGGTGGTTCAAACCCACCAGCCACTCCTCAGGAAACCCATACTGGGTCGCTATGAGTTGGAACCACCTTGATGGCACCTAACAACAATGACAAGTTTTTCTTTTTTCTCTAATATTGTCACCTGTCTATAATTTTGAGAACCATTGATTCTCTAAAAGTCTTAATTAAGCATGTTTTAGGCAGTGAATGCTGTCTTTCTTAAACATTTCCAGGCATATATGTGTCTTCATGTAGGTCCAAAGCTAGTGTCCTGCATACCAGACTGAAGCTCTGGTGTATGTGTATGTGCACACATCTGTACAAGCAAGCATGCATTCTTACTGTGATCTTCAGCTTAGTGCTACATTTTTTTTTTTTTTTTTTAAGTGCCATCATTTAACATTTGGGAGATTTCACCTAAAACATTTGGATTTCCCTTTTCTTTTGTAAAATCAGAACCAGCAGCCACAAATTTGGTTTTCCTACATTGTCACAATTGTGTAGAAATGAACATCAGCTGATCTTATAAGTGGGTCTTTGTCACTTTGATTCTGTTTCGTAAACCTCCTAGTCATCTGCAGTCTATGTGTCCGAGGTTCTCCATCTGGAAAATGGACACGCTTCCATGGGTGTGTTTACGGAGTGGCCTGTGAAGGCATTTGGAAGAGTTAAAGAGTTGAGCACCTATGTTAGCAATTGGTGCCAGCCAGCTGTCTCTCCTGTGACCTCTTGTGCATACCAAGGTTTGTTTTGCTACTGTAGGGTTTTGACGTAAAAAGGAAGAAAATATTCACTCACTTAAAAAGATGCCTTTGTCAAGGACTGGTGGTGGTGGCGGTGTGCCGTGGAGTCGATTCCGACTCATCGCAACCCTGTACAGGGTTTCCGAGGCTGTAAATCTTTACGGGAGCAGAATGCCTCATCTTTCTCCCGCGGAACTGCTGGTAGTTTTGAACTGCTGACCTTATGTTCGCAGCCTGATTCGTAACCACTACGCCACCAGAGCTCCTAGACAGAAACAGAAACATAGATCCCAAGTGCAAAGACCTGGTCCCAAGTCTTCGTCTGGCCCCTCTAATGAGTCTTAATTTCTCTGGGCTTTCGTTTCCTTATTGGTAAAAGAAGAAATGTAATGTTTTCATTTGCCCGTTTCTGTAATGGAATGAGATGATAGAAAAGTTACCGGAGTCGGTGGCGAGGTTGGGAATGGAAAGAAGTGGTGTTGTGACAAAAGATGCCGAGAGGTTCATTTCATCCTGGAAAGAACTGAACTCTCTCTGAGAATTTCTGTAGAGAAAATTAATGTTCACCATCCTGCTCACGGAGTTAGACCATGGTGCCACTGTGTTATTCTTGGACTACCAATTAAATAAGCCTTTCCCCCCAGGAAAGAAATATTAGAATTCTGATCACTGCTCAAGAGCCAAGACATTGATATTTACTCTGCTTGAATGTTGAAGTAGCAAAAGTGGATGTCAAAGCCAGGAGGCCTGAGGAAGCTCACTTGTTTGAGAAAATGCTGTAAAACGCAACCCTGTGTTAGTGGGTTGGGTCCCAGGGTACTGAGCAGAGGTGGCAGGAGGAATTGTGAATGAGAGAATGCAAATTTCCTGTCTTTGCTTATGAATCTCTGTTATGCGATGGGGCTCTCTCCATTTCTTGAAATACTGCCATTGTTGATGTCTGGGTATCTTTGTGTGTAAGAATGTAATCAAGCTTTGATTTTGGTACTGATTCGTAACACAGAGAAAATTAGTGGGCTTCATCACTTGGTCAAGACGTAGTGCATATCAACTCATTTTGGGATATGCATTCATAGTTTTTCTTTAGACTACCTAATAACCTAATGACAGAGTTTATAGTTGAAAAGGGCGTTAGCCATAATGTCTTGTAAATTGTACACCTAACAGTCTATAGGAGCGTCTAGACAGGATAAGTCATCATCTATTTGAATCCAGTTAGGCTTTGTGTTCTGAGAAATTCAGAGTACTGTGACAACATTTTTAATCACAGTTTATAAAGAGATGAGCTGAGGCCTAAGATTTCAATTAAATTCAACCTTTATAGCTTTAGAATGAGAGGTACTAATGGGGATTTGTAGAAAAATGTGGATTAGTACTTTTCCATTTTTATTTGAATAGTAGACAAAAAAATGTTCACATGCCTGAAAGATGATGACAGGATGCTGGGACAAAGACGCTCTGGTGGTGCTGTTGGTTAAGCACTGGGCTGCTAACCAGAAGGTTGCTGGTTCAAACCCACCAGCCGTTCTATGGGTGAAAACTGAGGCTTACTGCTCTTATAAAGATGAACCGTCTTGGAAACCCTCTGGAGCAGTTCTGGTCTGTCCTATGGGTTCAATAGGAGTCAGAATCAACTCCGGTGGGCTTGGGGTTTGTTGTTATTATTAAGTGCTGTCGAATTGGTTCTGACCCATAGACACACTGTATAGGGTTTCCAAGGAGCAGCTGATGGATTTGAACCATCTACTTTGTGGCTAATCGTCCAGTGCTGATCCCACAGCACCACACCAGGAGCCCTGGTGGTGCAGCCGTTGGGGTTTCGAGCCCAACCAGCTGTTCCACGGGAAGAAGACACGGCAGTCTGCTTCCATGAAGATGACAGCCTTGGAAAGCCTACGGGGGCGGTTCTACTCTGTCCTGTAGAGCCACTGTGAGTTGAGACCGAGCCGGTGGTAGTGGGTTTGGTATGTTGGGGTAAGAAGTACTCAGAGAGTTGAAAGTTAGCTGAAGATGTGAAGAACAAATGTGAATGATGGTAGCCATGCCAAGAGAGAATATTTGAAACTTTCTATTTCATTCTCTTCCAGAAACCATCATGCAGACCTCGGAGACTGGGTCGGACACAGGTTCGACAGTGACCCTACAGACTTCTGTGAGTAGCCAAGCAGCAGTGCCTACTCAGGTGGTACAGCAAGTACCTGTACAGCAACAGGTAAGCAGCGGCTGTCTGCATCGAAGATGCTCTTGTCTTCCTGTGCTGGCTTTTGAACGTAGTTGAGTCCCAAGATTACTTGGACTCTTCTTTCTTTACTCATTGGGTGCCAAGAAGCACAAATTCAGTTCTTCGTTTAGGTCTGCAAATGTTTCCTTAAGCGTTTCCTGGGCCACCCAGGCTCTGTGTGAGGCAGATGGGATGCAAAAATATGTAACTTAAAATATAATCTTCTCTAGAGATCCCCACTTATTTACCTGCTAAAATAGTTGTTGGTTTTTCAGTTGCCCATTCGAATTAGGTTTCTCCCTTCTTACCCCCACCCCACATCCCTTTTCTTTCTTAAAATTTTCGTTCACGTTGAAATACCGTCACAACTTCTTTTTTATGTGTATAATTGGCTTGCAGTAACACTTAATAAATGAGCTAACTATGTGTCCCTTCCGGGCAGGCGTTTTTACCTTTGTGGTATTTTAGAAAGTGCTCTTGTGCTTTCTGGTGGCAGATAAATGCTGTTTAATGAAAATAAAATGATCTGTAAGGTCGGGCGATAATGACTCATTCCATTTACAAACCTGGGAATGAATTCATCAGGTGATGTTTACCACAGGTTTTATTCATACTCATACTCAGGGTCAGCTGGCTTGTTTTAGAAAGGCAGAATACCATTCATACCAGTGCATACTTTTTTTTTTTCAAGTTTTTATTGAGAATTGAGTGAAAGTCTACAGGGCAGATCATCAGTTTTACATTCAATGAATCATATACTTTGTTTCATTACAATAATTATAATCCCCCCCCCATGTACCATTAGTTAACAGTGTTTCTCTCCAGTGCATACTTTTTGCATGTGGATCATGAACACAGTGGCCTGTCATTTCTCCCAAAGAGTAGTGAGAACATGAGAATGATTCTGTGTCTCCCTACATCCTCTGGAGACGTGAGATTGGCCCTTTATCTCTTAGTATCCAGGAGAACCGGCAGCAAACCTTGCTGTGTTAGGGTTGTATGTAAGTAGTAAAGGCAGAAGACATCTTTTCTGAAATGCTAAGAGGAATTCAAGGTCATATTATTTTCAGAAGATGGGAGTGTTAGGGTCACAAAGAGCTGGAATCATTGCAGGTAAATGAAGACATCTGAAATAATTTTTAACCATTTTTTTTTTTAATTGTGGTGAAAACATAGATAATGCATGTTTCCAATTCAACATCTTTTACCGTACAATTCCCTAACATTGACTGGGCCAATCATGTCTTCTGGGTTTCTGGATTCTGATTTCTGAGTCTCTGTTAGTAACATGTATGTATGTGTGTCTTATTCCCTCTCTGAAGGTAAGTGTTCTTGTTGTTAAGTGCCATCGAGTTGATTCCGATTCACATAGGCTCTGTATAGAGTTTCTGAGGAACAGCTGGTGGGTTTGAACTGCTGATCTTGTGGTTGGTTCACAATCCAAGGCTGATCCTACAGTGCCACACCAGAAGGTTTTAAATCTTAGTTTCTGGAAATTTTATGATGGCTCTTGATATGAGTCTATTTTCATACATTGTGCTAAAGCCTAGAGAGCTGTAATGGCACAGCATATTAAGCACTGGACTGCTAACTACAAGGTTGGTGGTTCAAACTCACCAGCCATCCCCTGCGAGAAAGATGAATCTGTCTGTCCCGGTGAAAATTCCCTGTCTGAGTCTCAGAAACCCTAAGGAGCAGTTCTATTCTGCCCTGTAGGGGCACTGTGAGCTAGAATTGACTTGGCAGTGGGTGGATGGATGCAGTTCTATTTTGTCCTGTAGGGGCGCTGTGAGCTGGAATTGACTTG